ATGTAGATCTGTTCTCATGAGGTCTTTTTTTTTAGGAAAAAAAAAAAAAGGATTTTACAACATTAGTTAAGAGTTTTAAAGGTTAAAACGACCCAAGTTAGGTATTGAGCTAACAATTGTGAGGCTAGAATAGCTTTAGGGCGGGTTAAGAGTTAGAAAATGTAAAAGACCACAGCTAGTTACTAGTAAGCTAACAGGAAGCTTGTTAAAGAATGATACAGTTGAAGTTAGAGTTGTGCATTCGTTAGGATTAACTGATAGCGGGTAGAAACCAGTCTCATTGGGTCGTAGCGAGGCTAGCGTGGCTAAGCTACGAGTCCCTAAAGTGAACCTGAGGTGAGCTGTAAGGTGAGAATTAAATGCTGAATGTTTGTAAGAGGCTAACAGAAGGCGAGCGCAGAGCTAACTGTGTCGTCGTACTGACTTGTCCAGCGTAGCAGCCAGGATGTATTTTCCATTAGGAGAAAACTTGACAAAGGACACTGGAGGGTTGTCGTCATCTGAGGAGACAGAATCATGTGACTGTTGACCAGAACGACACGACGACAACATCGACGGCATCACTTTGGTCCATGAATCTGAATCTGACACAAAAATCTATATGTTCAGGTTTTACTCACCTATCAGGGTCTTAAGACACTGTCCTGATGCCGTGTCCCAGATACGACTGCAGACAGACAGACAGACAGACAGACAGACAGACAGACAGTACCTTTCCTTTACTGTAGTCCCACAGCTTTAATGTGCTGTAAACCAGAGAAAACACAATCATTAAAAGGATCACCTGAAGCCTATTAGCAACGTTAGCACAGTGCCACAGTAACTGAGCGGGCCAAGTGTTTCAATGACCCCTTTAACGTGAAGCTAATTTTTAATGTTACTACGGGTTCATTTAAATGACACAATCTAAATCTTCAGGTTTAAAAGACACTGACATGATGCGGTTAGCTGAGGTTAAAATGACCACAGCTCAGAGTCTGACGATGTGCTAACTCTGAGCTAACCGGTATGAGATTAAACAATCCTAACAGTTAGGCTAATATGCAAAAATGTAAATAATTTAAGCTACACTTTAAGCTAATACTTAGCAAAGTAGCAATTAGCTCAGCTGAAAGTTAGTGACGTTATCATGAATGTAGCTGACAATTGAGCAAAGAGCAGTAAGGTAAAAAAAAAAAAA